AAGTCCTTACATTGATGAATCATCCACCATGTAAAGAAGCATGTGCCTCTGATGAGAAAATCAAAATACCTAAGGAGATTACCTCACTTGAACACCAAGGCATACAGTTTTGAACCTCATCTTTAAACTCAGTTATCCAAATACGAGGTAAACTTATTCAAAGTATGATTTCAAAGGAAAACACGTTAAAACTATTGATAGTTAAATCGTTACTTGAGTAGTTCATTCGATTTATTTAACCATTTGTCGAGGCCTTCATATTTTGAATAGAGACACTAAAATAATAAGGAAAGCAGTAAAACGTAAAGAACTTTCATTAAAGATAGAATAATTACATTAAGGGGGCCAAAGGCATTACAAAACATGAAAGTAACCAATACTATTGTTGAGGCAGCTGAGGTACTGACACCTCATTAGCAAACGCTTCAGTTGTAGCTTGATCCTGAGATTCTTCAACAAAATTTTCTTCTTGATCAGCAGCTTCCTCAGTAGGGGTATGAGTTACTTCATCCATAAACTCTGCCCTTAATTCTTAAGTGTCAAGTTTTGGGTGCAGCTCCTCCATCCTTTCTACCACTACGGCATAGGCAAACCTTCGCTAGTAGATGACGAATGGCTGTCACTCTTTGGTCAAATGGAAGTCGATAATGCTTAAAAGTTTCCTTCCCAGCCCTCTGAGCTTCAGCCTCCACCTTCTTTGCCTCGTCCACATAATATTTTATTTGGATCTCCATGAATTGATTTGCATCTCTGCAACTGGCAAACTCCAAGTTCGTCTTTTCCAAGGCCTCGACGGTGAGTTTTTGATGGTTATTGGAGGTCTCGACTTTCTTGGTTAGTGAGGTCACTTCACACTGAGACTCGTAAACCTTATTCTTTAAGGCCTCTATTTCAGCTAAGGCTGAACTTAGCTTCACCTCATCCTCTGCTCGTTAGGTCTTCATCGCCTCAGCCTTCGAGCTCACCTTCTTTATTTTAGCCTCGACAATAGCAAGTTTTTCCACTGAGGCTCTGTTCCTTCTTTAAATGTCAGCCAAACTTCTTGACATTCGAGGACCACCTCAAATGCCCTAGCACTCTGGCTTACCAGAGTTACAGTAAGGTCCACTGCAGCACAAGTGGACACATACGTTTGTTACCGCTCCGTCCAAAACTTGCTAAAATTTTCTGTAGCACTCCTGACTTCAAGGGGCAGATCTCAACCACAGCCGGGGTAATCTTATCATCCCTCTCGGCTAAAAAACTCCTGGACTTGCCTGGGGTTCTCTCCAAAATCAATTAAGTATCTACTTCGGTCTATGAGGTGGTCGAAGCTACGAAGCTTTGAGGATCACTTGTAGATATCCTCAATCACGTCCCACTCCACCTCGTGAAGTTTGAAGCGTGTACCAGAATCTACAACATGAAGCACAAAAAATTAATTGAAACCGTGTAGAGCGAGCCACTCACGTGCTTCATAATACTGGGTCGGTACCATGTAGGCTGGGACAGTATCTCCCTCTACCATCTGCCATCTACCCTTAACCCAGAACCAACACTACTTCCAACCCTTGATGGAGAAAGTAAGCCCCACAACAAAGACAGCATGAGACCCCCAGGGGTGAGGTAGTACCACCCCTTGCAGTCATACTTCCCCATTACCCAGACTTGGAAGACGGTTAGGAAAACATGCAAGGCCATATCCTCGCCTAGAGATACCTCTTTCCAATGGAAGTAGGTCCCAACTAATTGACTCCATCCATTTGGTAAGATTTGGGTCGAAGACAACATGAAGGTCCTCAATACAGCCCTAAAAAGGGGGTGCAGAGGTAGACGCACTTCTGCTTTCAGCAGGAATTTACTGATGGCCACACAACTCGGCCTCGGAAAGCAGGCACGTTCTTGGGCTTTGAGAACTAACATCTTTATATAATAAGGAATGCAATACTTCTCTCTAAGTTCAGCTAGTTTGGAGGAGGTTAAGGAGGAAGGAATTTTTGTAGCCCCCCAACCCGCCTCGTAATCTATAAGCTCCTCACTCATCGTGTACTCCTCTTCAAACCTCCCAGACACTGACTCCTCCCCAAACCTAGCTATTGTAATTGCCCAAGAAGCCTCGAAATCCGTAAAAATGGTAGGAAAAGATGCAAAAAGTACAGAAATTGATGAAGGATTGCGAAAAAGATTGTACAAGAAAATGCCTACTAAAGAACGACACCTAAGAATGCTAGCCAAAGGATAAGAAGACATCGGATAATTTTTAGAGTTTGGAGTGCTTGAGAGAATTCAAATGATTTTCACCAAAGTAAAACTTAAAAATGGTGGAGTTTTGGTTCTTTATATGAAGAAGAAATCAATCCTAACCATTGGATCGCTGCCCAATGGATCTGAAGCGTCCAATTCTATGATAGATCTAGGCCATAGAATTCAAACGATTTATCTCTCCAACGCCTCAGATTAATTATGAAAATCACGTACCAGCCTTGGTGTGTTAGTGCTTTTTGCAAAAATATGCGGCCATCATTAGCCATCGTTTTACGGTCATACGTGTATTGGAAGTTGTACCGCTTCAGCTATCCTAGGTAACATGCGAAATTGTTCAATCATGGCATCAATATCAAGGGCAGTCAGCTAATGAGCCTCTACAATTTAGCACTCCATTGCCTCAGCACCAAAAACAAATTCAGCTATCTTCAAGATAAACGGGCATTGGTAGTTCAGCACTCCACTACCTCAACTCCAGAAACAAATCCAACTATCTTCAAGATAAACGAGCCTCAACAGCTCAGTACTTCATTGCCTTAGCTCCCAAAAATAGACTCAACTATCAACTCCACGCACAATATAAATATTTGTTCCTGGATTTGGGGGACTGACGATGGATCAGAAATTTTAAAGCTTTCTTGTGATGCCCAAGGAGGGTACATCTTTGACTACTAAACGTTCACGAATAATATAAAATAATCATACATAGATTTGGAGGACTATTGTTACGACTTTCTACTAAGCATTTGCCACGTGGCCGACCCAGTGAAGTTATGAACCCATTCTTGCCGAACCACCACCATAGAAGACGAAGACCATATGGAAATTTTCGATGCACGTTATTAATTCGAGGTGGACATTCCGAGGGGGCTCAATAGGTCCGAGGCACCACTCCAGTTAGTGACTACCCACATACAGAGATCTCGAATTTATTATAGAGATCTTATTTGAGTGATTGATGTGACGGCTTTAAAAATTGTATTTGTGTCTTGTCTTGTCAATATGATGTGAGAGTATTAAATGCTTTCTCGATCTAGGAAAGTCAATATCATGGCTAGGATTTGATATCTCGACCGAGGAGATGAGGCCACATGTAACCATCTAAGAGTCACCATTCTGTTTGTAAAACTATAAATACCCCCATCATGTAACAGTTGAAGACTAATGTAACTTTAAATACTTGGAGCAGTTGGTTTTATTCTGAGATACTCAATTTGCAATCTAAAATTTGAGTTCATTGCGATTGGTTATTATTATAATCGCTTCCTGGATATCTTGTCGAAATTCGAACGGAAACATCTCGTGTCATTGAGCTTCTCTAACGTCCAATTATGGAGTGATCTTAACCGTTGATCCATCTTTACGTGTTGGATTTAGTTTGCGCATGCACAAGTGGGTCCGATATCTGTTGGTAGTATATTTTGAGGTCAACATACCCTATTTATATTGTCTTCCTACATTATTGCCTTTTCTATGATTCAGTTTGGCTTTTTCTTGAGACCATGAAAAAGTGAGGTTCTCCTTATTTATAGTAAAGTTTGTCCTCTGTTTCTGGTATCTCCTAATTTTTTGGTCAGGAGTTGGTCAGAAATGGAAGTGAAAGTTGAGATCTGGTGTCCAAAAATAATTGTCAAATTTGGTGTAGATCCAATGAATTATTGACACATCACTTTAAATTAATATGTTTAACTTTTCTCTCACTATCATTGTGTTTAAAAATAGGTGTAAAATAATTGTTCATCAAATGAAGTCGAGAAGATTAGAAGGGAATTAAAAATGGAGGAAATATATATTAAGCCCCTGTTTGTTTGACATTATTTTAAGGTTAAAATGAATTTTTAGACTTTTTTTATAGATTTGTGGGCCCCACCCAGAAAGAGGTTGATCAAAAACTGCGATTAGATCCTAATAGGAAGTATTGAGAAATGACAATACGAGGATAATGTCCTTTAGATTGTCATAATATTATATTCTTATTAGACCAAATTATTAAAAAGTGATCAAATTGCAAGAGAATGTGTTATCACTAATTAGGAGAAGATACATCGTCCAACCTAACTGATTGAGATAAGAAGAATTAGTCCTTTTCTTTCTCCTCTTTATTTTTTATTCAATAAAATTAAGCATTTATTAGCCGAAAATGAATGGAAACCATTTACTAGAAAGTGCAATAATGTTGAAAGATAACACAACAAAAATGCTCTTTTTGAAAATTGAAGATGAATTTGTTGTTTTAACGGAAAATTTAACGGAAAATATAACGGAATTTGGGCTGAAAAAAACTGGGCTTCCTGTTAATAGCTTTTCATTTCACAAATTATAATCCTAAACCCTAACCTAATTTTTCGAGGGCAGAATCCCTCTCATTTGAGAAAAAAATGTAGTCTCCTCCCTTGTACTGCGATGCAATTTTCTGTTTCGTAATTTACATTTAAAACTTACTGTATTCTGATTCTTGTTGTAG